GAGTTTTCAGAACCAAATAGCAGAGAACAAACAATGGCTACTATATTATCTCATTTTCTGTAGAAAATTTGTTTATACTATCACACATAATAATATCCAATAAGATATAACAGGATAGAACCAAAGGCAACAGAAAAACAAAAGCATGGCAGGACTTCAGAGTAAGATGATACTAAATCAGCACTGGCTATTCTAGTGTCTTGTTTTCTTTAAAATAGCCGTTTATACTATCACAGATAATAAAATCAAGCAAACTAGGATAGAACCATTCCAACTAATGAATGCAGACATTATAAGTTTTCAGAGCAATGTAATGGGGAATCATGATTACTATAAACTCTTGTATACTCTTACCATTCTTACACTAGGGAGCCTGTGCAGTATTTATACATGTGAGTTTGATTTATTTCACTAATGAGTATGGTCTCAAGTTGCGTCCATTTATTTATAAATATATCAATGTGATCATTCTTTATAGCTGAGTAGTACTTCATTGTATAAAAATACCACATATTTTTTATCCATTCCTCAGTTGATAGACACTTAAGTCATTTCTAAGATCTGGCGATTACAAATTGTGCTGCTATAAACATGGGTGCACATATATCACTGTGTTATGATGCTTTCAGTTCTTCTGGGAATATGCCTAGAAGTGGAATAGCTGGGTCAAATTGGGCTTCCAATCCCAGCTTTTTGAGAAATCTCCAGACTGAGCTCCACAGTGGTTGCACCAGGCTACACTCCTACCAACAGTGTAGGAGAGTTCCTTTTTCCCCACAGCCTCTCCAGCATTTGTTGGTGATGGTTTCCTTGATCCTGGCCATTCTTTCAGGAGTGAGATGAAATCTCAGTGAGGTTTTAATTTGCATTTCTCGAATAAGTAATGATGATGAACATTTTTCATGTATTTATTTGCCATTTGTATTTCATCATCTGAGAACTATGTATTCATCTCAGATGCCCATTTTGGGGTTGGCGCTTTGAATTTTGGAGGTCTGATTTTTTTAGTTCTTTGTATGTTTTAGACAGAAGTCCTTTTTCTGAGGGACAGTTCACTAAGGTTTTTTCTAGAAGGATACTTATTGAAAGCCACCTTAAAAGACCAGGATTCTACACACTCAGGAACAGGGCAGGTTCAGGTGGAATTGGGGTAGCCAGGTGGGTTAGGGATATGTATATGGAAACACATCTCAGAAAGAGACATTTAAATATTAAGATCTAATTCTTAGAATTGAAACTGAAGACTCATCAACATTATCCTCTCCCCCTCCCACCTTTTTCTTTCTTCTCTGTTCTTGTCGTTTCAGGTTCATAGCAACTGCCGCAGACGGTTTTCCAAGGAATGTATCTTTGGAAGTCACCGTTCATCAGTTGTCCCTCCTACTGCTCTCAGTGACCCCAAAGGTGATGGTGAGTAGCTAAAACTTAACTTGAGTAAAACACTAGTGGGGGAGAGAGGAAAGGTATAAAGGTTAGAAAAAGGGCTGGAGTTACTCTCCTCAACCAGTGAAATATTTGGTGGGAGAGTTGTGTACATAGACAGTCATAGCTTTCTTTAGAAGTTTAGATTGATGAATGTTGGTCTTCCTGGTGTATGTCTATGTGGGCATGTTCTCTGTAGCCTCTGTCATAGTTTATGCCAGCTAATCAAAATTGATTTCAGCATTTTAATGATTTCCAAACAATAGACAATGTATAAAAAGGGTTTGTGTGTATTCAGGTGGTCAAAAGAGCCAGGTTATATTACTGGAGACTAATATCAAGGTTGTTCTGAAATCTGAAACATGATCATTGCCCCAGTCTGTTTCAATGGTACTTTGCCAATTCCTCAGCAATAGTGATTTACTGAGAGCTCTACTCACAAGCAGCTTAAAGATTGCAGAGAGATCTACGATATAGGCGTTGCCAGAGCAAAAATTATTGTGAAGTCACAATTTTTTTTAGTCCCAGAGATTGAACTCATGACCTTGCCCTTGCCCTTGCCCTTGCCAGGCAGGCACTTATGCCACTGAGCTAAATTTCTGGCTTGAAGCCACAATCTTGATATAATACAACAATTAAAACTTTAATGTTGCAAATGCTAAATACCAAAGGAATGGTAGAGACACTTAAAGATGAAAGGTATAGAAATGCCAACCATTCATAGAAAGTTGAGCAGAATGAAAATAGTAATAAAATCCATTCAGCAAGAATAAATTGTATCAAGATATTTAGCAATGTTAGAACACAGAAAGCAAAGACAAAGAAAAGTGTTTGTTAAGTTTGATGAAATACATAGGCAGCATGGTGTAAGAGAATTAAAACAAAAGTTACACAACCATGAATTTTAGCCAGTTCCTACCTAGATGACATTCTATGTAAGTTACATTCTATGAGCTCTCCTTTCCCTATCTATAAAAGGAATGACACTTCTAGTTAGGAATTATAATTTATAATATGTTAAGGGACCAAGTATCTAGAAGTATATCCTGAAAGGAGCACAAAACCAAATTCCTGGTCTTCCTTGGTAACTAAATACATAATCTCCTAGCCTAATGAAAACTAGACTCCTTTGGGGTTAATTTTTATATGTACTTTTTCCCTACATCTTTGCTTCTTCAAAAATGAAACTCTTCTTTTTTGCCATCAAGTTGTCCATATGCTTCTCCCATTACTCATAATTAAAGAGTGGGCACTTTCAATATTAAAATCAAATATTACATCTAAAAGGGGCCTGACATTTTTACTACCACTAAGAAATTGAGAAATCTAGTATGCATTTTATTGACATGCTACCATTTCACTAAACCAGGGAAGAGAGATACTGTTCATTAGTTTCAGTTTGCGTATGGTTAGTTTCACTCTGCATATGGTCAATTTCACTTAGTGAATAAAATTTCAAATATTTTACAAAATATTTTAATCCATATTTTCAACTATACTAATTTATTCCCTTCTGATATGAAGAGAGTGCACTGATCCAGGAGTGATTAATAAACTGACACTTCATTCACTTAAAAATTATCCCCACTGTGATGCCATTCACTTCATTGCCAAGAAAGAATCAGCACTGATAGGAAACAAAGGGAAGAGAAAAAGAGTCAATGGTTTCCTTAGACAACAGAAGGGGCAAGGATTCCTGTAGCCATTACAACTGTTTTAGAATGAGACATAGCATATACATATCTGTGTATTCATATGTACTCTCACACATCTCACACAATTCTTTTTCTAACTAATGCAGATACAGATAAATCTTAGTGCATGGAATGAGCCACTCACATGGTTTATATAAGTTTCAGTGTTTAATACAGAACCAAAATAGTGTATTGCGGTGGTTGTCAAATGTGAGCATATATCAGATTAATATGCAAGGCTGAGCTGTAGATATAGCTTTGCAGCAGAGTACTTGCCTAGCATTTGTGAGGCGCTGGACTCAGTTCTCTGGAACATAAAAAAAAGAGAGGGAGGGGGACCTGAAAAGCTTTAAAACACACAGATTTCTAGACCCTACCTTTGGCCTTTTGATTCATTAGACTATGTGGTGCCCAAGAATTTGCATTATTAGAATTTACACTTGATGAGGCATGCTCTGCCATTTACTATTTGACTCTAGACAAGTTACTTAACCTCTGTGTGCTCCACCTGTCATTTCTTTCTACCAATAGGTAATGGCAGTTTTAAATGAGCAAACATGTGTGTGTGTGTGTGTGTGTGTGTGTCTGAGACAGAGTCTCACTATGCACTTCAGTCTGGCCTTGGGCTCACTTTGTAGCCCACGCTGGTCTCAAACGTCCAACAATCTGCCTGCCTCAACCTCCCAAGTGCTGGGATTACAGGAGTCTGCCACCATGCCTGACTGTTAAAGAGGATTTTAAAATATAGAAAGATTAATAATAAGTCAACCTTATGCCAATTTAGCATTCTTTTATAGAGTGAACATGATTAATTTAAGTGGGGTCTGTTAATTCCATGGTTTCAGGCACTGTGATTGTATTAGCAGCTCAAAGAAGCATGATTGTATTAGCAGCTCAAAGAAGTTTTTTGAAAGCTTCTTTCAGGCTATTGACTCATCTGTTAACTAAACCAAATCTCCTAAGCTCTTTTTACACTGAATCCTGCCAAACCAATTTCCTATTATCCTATTCTAATGTAATTTATGTACTTGAGCCTAAAGGCCAAGCTTTGCACTTATTCCTTTCACATTGCATCTGTTGACTTTGGTCCATACTGTTGAGGTCAATTTTTTAACATTGATCTGGTCAACAAGTACCTCTTCCTCCAACTTTGGGGGCATCAAATTTTACAAGCCAACCTTCCATGTTTCTATATGAACTGAATAAAATTGTGAGATAGTATAGAACTCTTGATTAGAGTTAAATCAGCCTTTTCAAAGACAACCCTGTGGGCAAGGTTAGTTACCTAGTTATGAATACAAGAAACATTACTGAATTCCAGCTGATAGTGATACCTATTGTTGCCACCTATTCCCAAGAGTCTCTTGACCAATGTGACATTGCTCATATTTAAATGCTTATTGCTTCTGGAGAAAATGACAGTGCTGTCCCTGTATTCTCCTGGGACTCGCTTCCTGCTGCACTACTTCCTAAGTCTTACCATCTGTGACAAAAAGAGCTTTAACACTAAAGTTCAAGTTGCTTTAATTACAGAATTTTCACTTTATGAGCAGTTTCCATCTTTATGCTGTTATTTTATTAATCATTGCAACATGCTACTACTATACATGTGAAGAGATGAATCTCTGGAGAAGTTAAGATGCTTGCTCTGGGTTAGTAAATAAACTTAGATGGCAACCAGCTATAGGACACAGCTGCAACTTCTTGCAGAAGCATACCACAGAAAGCAGCCCATACTCCAACTGCCAAATGATTGTTTTTAAATATTTGGGCTACACCTTCATGGTTATTTAACTTACAGCTAGTAAGTCCCTTTTTCCTACTTCTTAATTTAATTCTTTACTGGTTAATATGTTCACATAGGTAATGTAATGATTTTTTGAAGATGCACATGTATTATTTAGAAAAAAAATATTGTTGCTATTCTTTCTCTGGTCTTCTCAATCTTCTACAGCCCTCTAACTCACTTTGCATTCTTTTGGTTGAGTAAAGAGAAAGAAAATTTTAAAAATACTACCTTATACATCTTATGGCCTTAGTAGTCTTAGCTTGATCTCAATTTATCTGACCTCATCTGCTACTCTTCTCATCACTCACTCTATAACAGCCATGCTAGTGAAGAGTTTGGGGTTCTCAAATACCCCAGTCTCGCTTCTCAGGGTCCTAGCACTCCTTGCCCAAAACACCTTTCTCCCCATATAGTTGCATTAGTCATACCCTCACCTCATAAGCTTCGTCTTGCATGTCATCTTCCCAGAGACTGACTCCTGAAGACTTGTTTAAATAACAATCTCCATTCCCTTTTTCCTGGCTTTATTGTTCTTCACACACATTATTTCATATGTATTTATTATAGTCTAGCTTCTTTTATTAAACCATGAGGTACACAGGAGTAAAGGCTGTTTCTATTTTGTCTATCATTGTATTCTCAGAGCATAAATCAGGACAGGCACAGTGAGGCATGGTGATGCATGCTTATAATTCCAGCTATTCAGGAAGGTGAGGTAGGAGGATCATAAGCTTAAGGACAAACTGGGAAACTTAACAAGACTCTGTCTCAAAATTAAAAGGGCTGGGTTTATAATAAATCAGAACTCCCTGAGTTCAATCTCCAGTACATACACATACATACATACATACATACATACATACATACATACACAGGCACCGAGAATGCCCTTAATATGTATTTGTTGAATGAGTAAATGAGTGGAACTATTGTTCCATAATATACTACCTTTTGTTTAAAAATAGTGATACAGGTGAGACTGTGTTTTTGTTTTGTTTTCTTTATTTTTTTTAATTTTTTACAGATAGTACTTTGAGCAGGGAAGCAATTACTTTCAAGCTATACCACTTCAAGCTTCCCTGGCCAGTGAGTGAGAATTGGTGCATAGAGGAAACCTGCCTTAGATTTTTCCAGGCCAAATAGTCAGGCTTCCTTTCACCTATATTATAACAAATGAGACATCTTAACCCACCGTTCCCACACGGTAGTGAACCAAATGGCTTTTGCCCTATGTACTTACTTTTTGCTGAGGCATCCCTGTCAAGCCATGAGCTCAGATGTTTGGAGACTTCTGTTTGCCCAGCATCTCTCTCCTAGGGGGCCTTTGTTGTGGCCTATCTTCCTGCTGACAAGCTTTAAGACAGCCTGAGCTAGCAAGGCTATATCTATTTAGCCTGTTATCTATTTCTTCATGGATAACAACAGTGTTTGAGATTATGAAAAACCTCTCTTGTTGAGTAAACTTCCCTATAGTCTTGTTCGCCCATGGAAACTAAACTAACAAAGATTTCTTTATTAAAATACTAAAGAAATCATTAAAGCTCTTTGCTTCACTTCAGGATGCAATATTGTAAGCTTTTCCCTCCTTTTTTTTTTTTTTTTCCTATCTCCCCTGATGTGGTGTCCTCTCACTGTGAGAACAGAACTAACCCAGGCAGAGGAAGACTAATTGGGATGCTGGTCTTTTCGTAGGCTCCCAACCCTCTTCTTCTTTTTCCCACTCAGTTTTACTAATTCTTGCTTGTGTCACCGATTTTTTTGTTATTCCTTGTATTCCAACATACTCATGTGTTTGTGTGTGTGACCTTAGCTTGAAGTCAAGGACTATGACTAGCATCAAGCATGATGTTTGGCATGTAATTGTTGCTCAGAAAGTATTTTTTGCCTAGAAACAGCTAGCAAATGACTGTTAAAACCCTCTGATCAGTGTCTTTATTTTCTTTCTGCCCCTCAATCTCACAAGACTGGATCAAATTTTCTTGCAAAATGTGATGCTAACTCATATTTCATTTTCATCTCAATGACGTAATTTGTCATTTTCTCTCCCTTCTTCTCTTTTTTCCTGTCCTTCTTCCCTTCCCCTTTCCCTTCTTTCCTTCTTCCCTTCTCCCCATCCTCTCCTCTTCCCCTCTTCCCCCTCCCCTCCTCCTCCTTCTTCTTCTTCTTCCTCTTCCTCTTCCTCTTCTTTTTCTTCTTCTTCCTATTCTTTTTCCTGTGTGTATATCAGGCCAGCTAGTAGTATCTTCAGACTTCTGGAATCTTGACTGGCCATCTGCCTGTTCGTGCCCCTTGCTCATCTTCGTCAACTCCAAAAGCGGCAATTGTCAAGGGATCATCTTCCTCAGAAAATTCAAGCAATGTCTTAACCCATCTCAAGTGTTTGACCTTTCGAAGGGTGGACCTGAAGCAGGGTAAGCACAGTGAAAGAGATGCAATTGGGCATATGGAAGCAACTCCTAGCTCCATGAGTTCTTAACTAGGAATAACTTCTGAAATCTGTCTTTGTGCATGGACAGGACCTATTCCTCAAGACAGGACACAAATACATATCTCTAGAGTATTTAGTTTGACTGATTGGGAGACTTTTAGCCTTCTTCTAGAAATCTCTTAGCTTACAGCCTACTCTCAAATTTATTTCACCTTTTCTGGTTGGAAGAGATAAAATTGTATGCTCTGACCTCAGAAGAAGAAGCAAAAACAATATAGCTGCCAATCATTCTTTTTCCTGGCAATTCTTTCATGACTATAAGCCTGTTTTACCTGAGGATCATTTGGCTGCTCAATTAAGTTACTATGAGCCACTGGCCACAAGACTGCATAGCATTCTTCCTGTTCCCCAGCAAATGCATTTGGGATTTTTATGGCTTGTAGAGTAAGATTGAGCACAAAAGAGTGTGAGTTGAGAAAATGCCTGATCTCTGGGATCACTTATGGGAAATTGCCTGTGGTTCTAGGTACAACAGAGTTAGAAACCAAGACATCAAAGACAAGTAGCCCGCTATCAAGGTGCTAAATCAGCAGTAATTGTGTCCTGAAATATTGTAGGAACCATATAACCAAGCTGTTCAAATGATTGTTACCCTTTCTTCCTTTCAGGCTGTGTATGTTTAAGAACTTTGCTCGCTTTCGTATTTTGGTTTGTGGCGGAGATGGCAGTGTGAACTGGGTCCTGTCTCGGATTGATGCGTTTGGATTACATGAAAGGGTAAGTCCCAGGTTTAGCCCCTGATAGAAATAATAGGGGTGTGGAATTGTTTGTCCCATGAAGTCCCAAGTCTTCATTCTCCCTGTTTATGAAATACATGTTTCCCGTGGTTTTAATAGATAACCTGACAAATCTAAGCCAGCTCACCCAGAGCATTTTCTGATTGTTTACCTATATGAAGGAGAAGTGAAGTAGTTGATTGAAAGAATGTGTAGTGCCCATTCTGTACGGTTCAAAGTGAAGTGCTAGGCTGGGTGTAGTGGTGCACACATGTGATCCCAGCACTTGAGAAGCTAAGGTAGGAGGATTGTCGTGAGTTAAGGCCAGCCTCAGTTACATAGTGAGCTCAAGGTCAGACTGAACTTCATAGTGAGACTCTGTTTTAAAAAAGCAAAAACAAAAATAAAAACAAAACAAAGTGAGGAACTGAAGGAGAAGAATGCAAGCAATTTTTTGAAGAAGCCATACACAGTATGTAGCCTCCAATTTCCTTCTTCTCCTGAGGGTACTGATTTTTCTTCTGAGCCTCAAGAGTGGCAGGATCTTTCCTCTACCTGTCTCCCATCTGTATCCCACTGTTGCTCTTCTAACTCCAGTAGCTTTGTCTTCTGAGATACTACACCTATTTGGTCCACCAAATAGAAACTTGTAGTTATATCTCTGTTTTACAAACATGTCTGTAACTCTGGGCATATCCTAATAACTTTAGTAAGTAAACTTTGCATTGCTAAGAGTGGAGTCTAACTCCTTAGTGAAAATTTCAATCCACTTCCTATTTACACTTCTTAGAATCTGAAGTCCCTCACAGCAACTGGCTTGAAGGCCATAATTTTCCCCAAAGAACACTTGGGTTCTTTCATGAGTAAAGCTTGATAGAAGGACTGTTTGAAACAGGTGCCTCCTTTTTGTTCTTGCAGTGCCAGTTGGCAGTCATCCCACTTGGAACCGGCAATGATCTGGCTCGTGTCTTGGGTTGGGGTGCATTCTGGAACAGAAACAAATCACCACTAGACATCCTCAGCAGAGTAGAACAGGCAAGCATGAGAATTCTAGACAGGTGAGTCCTCAAAAGACCAAGTTCATTTATTTGCCACTTTTGGTCCCATACTAATTACTCCCAGTTACATCATCTCAATCAGGGCCCCATTTCCTTTCTGGTTTCAGTGCATGGAAGTTTGAGGGAAGGGTTTGTCACCTTCAAATATGACTAAAGTTCTTCTTCAAACCTAAAAGATCCTAGAGCATAGATAAATTTCAAGGATTCTAGAAGCTTCTTTTAAATTGCATAGTCACTTACCTATGTAAGCCATTTTTTTTCTTGATAAGGCATCTATGATGTCATCAGAGTCTCAAGAAATTTTTAGTGAGGAGGAAATTCAGCCCTAGTTGACTTAGATTATTTCTGCTCTACAGAAGAGAAAGTACTGCCATTCTATCTTCTAAAAGGAAAACAAAAAGACTTTCTATGACTGTTTGATTCTTGAATTCTCATAAAGATAAGTCGTGGGAAGGGAACTGGTATATGTCTTTTACAAAGGTATGACATTACCTCTGGTTGGGAAAGCATTGGTTTTTGACAACCATGGGGATCCTAGAGGTCACAATGTGGAGTCCCTTCTCCCAGTGTACCTAGAGATCAGTTTGCCATATGTTGTGTTAATATGCCTTATAATACACCTTGTCCCAATACATAAACTTTTTGACTGCTTTCATGATCTGTGAAGCATTTATTCTCATAATAATAGCAAAACCCTAATAATAACTCATAATAAAGCAAAACCCTAAATATCTCTTAAACCTCATTTCAGATGGAGTGTGATGATCCGTGAGACTCCAAAACAAATTCCATTGCAAAAAGAACAGGTTACAATGGACATACCAAGATTTGAGGTAACTACTTTCTAGCTGTAATTCCAGCATCTTTATTACAAATGAAATAATAGACAATGCCGAGAGAGAAGCTTTTGTATTTCCATGGGCTTGATAAGGGTGAGATCATCAAGCATTATGAACATGACAGACAGCAGCTATTTATTAAGAATATGTCAATCATTGGAAATATAATTCATTCAACCATTTATTTATCCATGCATTCAATGTATTTACAGGGTAACTATAGGGTGACATACAATCATCTTCAAAGTACTTACATGTACATATTGGAGCTTGATTTTTTTCTAAACCCCTTCCCCTTCCCTCCCACTCTCCCATACTAATTCCTCTACCCACTTTTTCATACTGTTTAAAATTATTTGTCTTAGATCAAGTTATGGTGTATAAGTTTATATTAATTGGGATTGATAGGCTCCTGTTCATAGCATATCTTTATTCTTATTCCTCCTTCCCCACCTCCTCACATCTTGTCTTTATTCCCTTGGAACACTTCCCTAATGCAAGAGATCCATTCCCTTGTCCCAATCTATCCATCTTATTTCATTGTCTTTGTACTATGCCTTACTCAGATGAAAGATGTCATATGGCATTTAAGCCTGTGTATCTAATTTATTTCACTTAACATTTTATTTTCTAGGTACATCCATTTTTCTACAAATGTCTCAAATTTGTCATTCTTTATAGCTGAGTGATATTCATATATATGCATCACATTTTGTTTATCCAATCACTTTTTGATGGATATACAGGCTGCTTTTAGTATTTAGCTATTAGGAGTTATGCTGCTAGAAACATTGTTGTGCATGCGTTGCTCTAACATGATGCCTTAAGGTCTTTGGGGAAGATACTTAGCAGAGGGTTAGCTGGCTTGTGTAGAACTTCTAATTTCAATTATGAAAAACATCTCTATTCTGGTTTGAATAATGGTTGTACTGGTTGACACTCCCACCAAGAATAAAGGAGGGTTCCTTTTTAACCATAGTGATACCAGCATTTATTACTGCTTGATTTCCTAATAATTTCCAGTCTTTCCAGTGTATGATGGAAACTTCCAGCTGTTTTAATTTGCATTTCTCTAATGGCAAGACATGTTGCATGTTTTTTCATATGTTTATTGACCATTTGTATTTCTTCCTCTGTGAAATGTTCATTTCTCTTGCTCATTTCTTGACTTGGTCTTTCACTTTAGGTGTTTGCTTTTTTTATTTTAAAAAGGATAAAACCAAGGAAAACAAAACACAATAAAACCAATCAAAACAAACCAGTGTAAATGATACAGGACTTCAAAACAGTACAAAATCAACAATAGTTACCATAATGCCTCTTGTTGTCTTTAAAATAGGTGCGGATACTTTCAGACACAGTAAAGATCAAACAGAATAGAACAGAATAAAACCAATAAAAACAAAATGATGGCTGCAATAAAGGACTTCAAAACAAGACAATAGTGAATCCAAAATGGCTACCATAATATATCTTGCTATCATTGAAAAAGCTGCTCATGCCATCAGATACAACAAAATAAAACAGAATAAAACCTAACCCAACAGAACAATGAAAATGATACAGGACTTTAAAAAAAAGATAATAGGGAATTAACAATGCTAACACCTTCAGAAAGAGATCCCCCGTAGATGACACATTGCTTACCATTATCCTCTGAATTAATTTTTTTAGTTCTTTGTATATTCTAGATATTATTACTCTGCCTAAAGAGTAACTGGCAATTTTTTCCCATTCTATAGGTTGTTTATTCACTCTACTGATTGATTCTTTTTCTGTACAGAACCTTTTTAGTTGATATAATGCCATTTGTTAATTCTTGCTGTTATTTCTCGTGTAACTCAAGTTCTGATTAGAAAATCCTTTCCTACAGCTATATCTTCAAGTGTTTTACCTATTTTATCTCCACAAAAGTTTAATGATTATGTTTTAATGATTAGTTTTTTATCCATTTTTATTTTAATCATTATTGGTGAGAGAGAAGGGTCTAGTTTCAATCTCCTGCAAACAGATAACCAATTTTCCCAACACCACTTGTTGAATACACTATCTTTCCTCCAATCTATACTTTTGAATCTTTTGTCAGAGATAAAATAGCTAAATGTGTCTGGTGAAGTTTCTGAATCCTTAGTTCTGTTCTATTGATCCATGCGTTCATTTTTTTTCCCCCAGTACAATGCTGTTTTTATCACTATTGCCTTGCAGCGGAACTGGAAGTCAGGTATTCTGCCTGCTTTGCTCTTATTGATCAAAATTACTTTTGCTATTCTGGCTTTCTCCTTGTTCCATATGAATTTTAGGATTGTTTTCTTTAGATTTGCAGAGTAAGCTCTTGGTATTTTGATTGGAACTGCTTCAAATCTGTATTACAGTTTTGGGAGCATGACTGTTTCGAAAGTATTAGTTCTACCTATCCAGGAGCAGGGGCATTTTTCCTGATGTCCTCTTCAATCTCATTCTGCAGGGTTTACTTTGTAGAGGCCTCTCATTTCCTAGTTAGGTTAATTCCTAGATTCTTCATTTTTCATGAAGCTACTGTGAATGATACTGTTTCCAGAATTTCCTCCTCATCCTATTCATTGTTGGTGTATACAAATGTTAATGATTTTTATGTGTTGATCTTGTATCTTGCTGCTTTGCTAAAGTTGTGTATTACTTCTGTGTGTGTGTGTGTGTGTGTGTATTACTTCTAAGAGGTTTTTTTTGGTGGAGTTCTTTGATTTCCTATGTAGAATGTCATGTCATCTATAAATAATGGTAATTTGAATTCTTCTCTTTCTCTATGTATCCATTTTATTTCTTTCTCTTGTCAAATTGTTCTGAGTAATGTCATCTGCAAATGATAATTTGAGTTCTTTCTCTCCTTTGTGTATCTACTTTATTTCTTTATCTTAATTGCTCTGATTAATGTTTCAAGTACTATGTGTAATAGAAGGTTTGATCATAGACATCCTTATCTTGTTCCTGATTTTAAGAGCAGTGCTTTTAGTTTTTCCACATTTGGTATGATACTAGATATTGGTTTGTCATAAATAGCCTTTATCATATTCAGGTATGGCCCTTATGTATCTGTTGTCTTCCTGGCTTTTATAATGTAAGGGTTTGGATTTTGTTGAAAGATTTTTTTCTGTCTATTGATATGACCGTGTGTGTGTGTTATCTTGCTTCTATTTATCTGGTGCATTACACCCATTGGCTTACATATGTTGAACCATCCCTGTATCTGTGGAATGAAACCTACTTAATTATAAAGTATCAACTTTTTGATAATGCACTGCATTCTGTTTGATAATATTTTAGTGAGAATTTTTGCAGCTGTATTTATTTAAGCATATAATTCTCTTGATTTACTTGGGTCATTATCTGGTATCTGGATCAGGTGACACTGCCTTCCATAAATGAATTTGGTAGTACTCTATCATTTTCAATTTTTTGAAGAACTTTAGTATTGGCAAATACATCCTTAAAACTTTTGTAAAATTCTGTAGTGTATGCAATAGGCTCTGAGCTTTTACTAGTTGGTAGGTTATGACCAAATCAAATTCATTGCTTGTCATTGGGTTGTTAAACATGTTTATGTCTTCTTGGGTTAGTTTTGGATGTTTGTATATATCTGTGAATCTGTTATTATTGTTGTAGGGGGAAACAAACTCAGGACCTCGAGTTTGTCAGGCAGGCACTTATGCCACTGAGCTACATCCAGTCCAATCTGTCCACTTTTTAAAATTTTGATAGTTGATTGGAATATAATTTTTCAAAGTAGTTACTGTGTTCCACTGGATTTCCACAGTGTCTTTTGTGATTGCACCTATTTCATTTCTAATTGCATTGACTAGAGTCATTTCTCTTTTTCTCTTATCTTTTTTTATTTTTTCTTGTGAAGAAAGAGCTCTTAGATTAGTGTTTTTTTTTTTTTTTTTTTTGGTACTGAGAATCGAACTCAAGACTTCGTGTTTGCCAGGCAAGCACTTATGCCACTGAGCTAAACATGCAGCCCCAAGATTAGTTGATTTTTTAACAATTTTTTTTAGTCTTAATTTCATTGATTGGAGTTCTCATCTTTATAATTCCCCTTAATTTTGATTTGGGGTTGATTTGTTTTTTTTCAAGTAGCTTAAACTTTCTCATAAGTATTTATTTAGGCTTGCTCTTTTTTACCTGATGCATGTATTGATTGCAATGAATTTTGCTGTTAGGACTGCTTTTATAGCACCTCAGAGATTTTGTTGAGTTGTACAGTCATTGTCACTAACTTGCAGAATTTTTAAATTTTCTTCTATAATTCCTTCTGTGTCACGTAGGTTCTATGTGACACATAAGAATATGCTGCTAATTTTCCAGGAGCATTTGCCTTTTCTGAAATATCATCTGTTGTTAATTTCTATTTTCATTGCACAGTGGTAGAATAGTATGCATGGGGTAACTTCTATTCTTTTATACTTACTTAAGCAGGCTTTGTGGGCCAGTGTTGATCTATTTTGGGAAAGGTATGTGGTGCTGAAAAGAATGCATACTCTGTTGAAGAGGGGTGGAATTTTCTTTATGTGTTGTTAAGTGTATATGTTCAAGGCCGTGATTCATTTTTGAAATTTCTTTATTGATTTTTTGTTAGTTGACCTGTCTCTTTGTGAAAGTGGGGTGTGAAAACTCCCTGCTATGATAATGTTAATGTCTATTTGACCTTTTTAATTTCAGCTTTTTTATTTTATGACAGTAAGTTCTCCAGTATTTGGTGTATACGTTTATTTATGCTAATTCTTCTTGTTGTATTGCTCTTTAACTAGTATGTAGTGACCTTTGTCTCTTCTAATCAGTTTTACCTTGAAGTTTACCACGTCTGATATTAGAATTGATATCCCTACTCTCTTTAGAGGTCCTGGAGCATGAAATGTTGTTTTCCATCCTTAGATTTTTAGTCTGTTAATTTTTTTTTTTTTTTTTGATTAATGAGTTTCTTTAATGCAATGGAGTTTGGGATTCTGTTTTTGATCCAG